AAGCTTTGAACAACTGTTCTCATTTCACAGCTCACTGACGCTTCAGAGGCATTAGGAAAATTCCCGTAAATAAACTGCAACACTTACTAAAAAGTCTTTGCCACACAGACATTAGCTGTTCTTACAGTTCAGTGTAAAAACAATTCTTTAGGAGGGTCAGTTTGGACGAATGGGCAGTTCTTATCAACTTGAGCCATTTCTTTACTTCTGAGTACTATTCTCTTGATAGTACGTCAAGAGATACTTGACTTAGTTTACTATCTATGGAACACCTATCGCGTTTATGTTGGTCCTTAGACACTAGTTATGTACTTCAACCAGGACTAACAACCAGCACTGCACACTAATTTATGATAATGTATAGCAGTGGTTCCCAAACTTGTTCCGCCGCTTGTGCAGGGAAAGCCCCTGGCGGTCCAGGCTGGTTTGTGTACCTGCAGTGTCCGCAGGTCCGGCCAATTGCGGCTCCCACTGGCCGCGGTTTGCTGCTTCAGGCCAATGGGAGCTGCTGGAAGCCGAACCTGCGGACGCGGCAGGTACATAAACTGGCCCGGACCGCCAGGGGCTTTCCCTGCACAAGCGACGGAACAAGTTTGGGAACCACTGATGTATAGTATACTAGGTCACTTGATCAGGCCCAAGACAAGGCATACAATATATCTCACTCAGCAATGAACTCTTCCCTAAGACTCACTACACTGAAAAATTTTGCCATCACTTATACCCCTCCCCCCGCGCAAAAAAATTCCATGCAGAACAAGGCCTTAGAATCAATCATAAACAAAAGAAAAACAAAAAGAAATTTGTTACTCAGCACTTCCTCTTGTGCTTCCTTTTAAACCAGGTGAAATGTAAATGGTGCGTGTGATGGTGAAATATATACATCAACAAGTGTGTGATTATGATCACATGTAAAATAAAATGAGGTAAGTGTTAAGAGATGAAGTTGGCATAACAGACATGCTAAAGCTGACCATATAATAGGAATACCAAAGTGTGTATATATTTGCAGATAACCGTGCCAGCTCTGGTTCACCGTGACTCGTGGAGTCATAATAATTTTCTCCATCAAAACATTCATGAATCACAAAAGTTTAATTCATTTTAACCACAAGTATTTTTTGTTCATATGAAAATTCAAACCAGATATTACTTTTCTGCTTAAAAAGTTTCAGTCATACTGTAGGTGAGCAGAACCAATGCCATGTGACAAGTGATCAATCACACACCACAAGCAACGAAAGCAAAACTTGGCAGGCAACCACTGAGCTGAAAGTTATTCCACAGAACAACTCAGCAAACACAAATAAAAATCAAAAGTACAGATTAGCTTCAGATAGACTGACACACTATATGAGCAGCTCCATTCCTAATGCATACCATCCAAAATGAATGGTTCAACCAGCTCGTTTAGATGTTAAGGGGTCAAAAGAAAATAGAAATAAGTGTTTGCTAAAATGCCCATCTCCCCTGTATTGCTGATGTAATTATAACTGTAATATATGGGCACTAAAGAGAGTTAAAGATTCATACACTCAGCATCCCACAGGATCATGCCTCATCCCACAAGATCAGGCCGCATCCACCTTATCTTAGCTTAGTTTTCTGAGCCACATGGCACCTTTGACAGGAACAGGGAATTCCCACTGGTTACAATGGGAAGTCAGCATTTGGATCAAAGGCAGTACACTCTAAGGCTTTGCGTGTTTGCCCTCTGCGAAAAGCTGTTAATATTGGCAAAGCAAGTTTTTTGCATTACTATTTTCCCCATCTCTGCCACTTCCTCCTTTGGCCAGGTAAGACTGATAGACCAATCAATCATATCATTATTTACATTAAACAAATCCCTTCATGTTAATGTTTATGCGCTTCCTCCTTCCTCTAGTTTTGATCCAAACACCCACACCTTTTCTCTTCCATCACTTTTCCCTTTGAACAGCTTCTAAACTTCCAAGCATGGCAGTGTAGTGAAAATAATTCCCCATATAATCTTTAACCTAATTCTCTTTTACTAGACAATTAACTAATTAGGGTTCTGGAGCTGGTGACTTCTAAATTCAGATCCCTCAATAGCTTAAGGGTTTATGTTTTTCTCATTCCAGCTGGAGTTATCTTTTTTAGAAAAATTCACAACAATCAAAGCTCATCCAGTTTCTCCCATTTTCTGTTCCGGGTAGAAGGGGATAAATTAACTGGGATAAAACAAGAACTGAGCTGAAGCTTGGCAAGAGTCTTGAGCTGAACCCAAAATGAACATTGGAAGTTCAGGAAAGTTTGGACAACTCTTCTTCCCATTGTTTGGTTATTTTTGCTGCCTCCACACCACCAAGTTACAGCCAGGACCAGAAGTAAAAGTGTCAGCAAGCCTCAGGAATGACCTCATGCAGTATTTCTAGCCAGCTCAGAGCCAGTTGCTTACAAAAATCTCATGAGATTTCCAGTCCAATTCTCGAGACCCAAAAAGGTTCAGATCAGATTTGATAAAAGCTTGATCTGGCTGTGCCTGCCAGGAGCACTACTGAAGTCAATGGGACTCCACACAGATACAGCAGTCTGCCCATGTGCATAGTCCCCATAAAGTCTCCGAGAAGCATCCCAACTTTGGAATGTTTATCAGACATGAATCTCTGATCCCATCACATGTTCCAGCTCTCCAGTATTGATTTTTTTGTTTTTGTTTGCTCCAATACTGTCTCCAATGCCTACTTGTACTTAGATACAGTACTACCAAGATAGGAAAATGCATGTGTGTGTGTGTGTGTGTGTGTGTGTGAGACCGTACCGTACATGAATATCTGCGTAACAACCATAGACATATGAGCAAGAGGGGACAGGGAGCCTTTAACAATGGAACTGGAGCATCAGCATAGTTCAAGTCTAAGGCGTCAACTTTAACCATGGCCACAGCAGCCTGATGCTACACAGTCAAATGCTAAGATTATCTATTCCCAGCTACACTGAGTGGAATCTTGGTTTTTCACTCTAGCAGTATTTTGCCTGGGGAGGGCACAAGTTTTGCCATTGCTTTTGCAATGAAACACCTTGGATTGAATTTTTGCCCCCTAAAAGATCTGCTCTAGAAATAATTTTTGGGAAATTCTATAGCCTGTGTTATACAAGAAATCAGACTAGATGATCACATTGGGCCCTTCTGGCCTTGGAATCTGTGAATCTATGCTTTAACTAAAATCAACATGAGTGCATTAGTCTGTAGACATGATGAGATTGGGATGAGGAGAAAGGACAGCAAGAAATGAAGATTCATTTGTTTTAAGGCTAGTAGAGACCATTGTGATTATCTACTCTGACCTCCTGCAAAACACCAGGGAAAAACCTCACCCAGTGTTTTTCTGCATCAAGCCCTTAACTTCTATTTGAGCTATACCATGTATTTTAGAAAGATATCCAGTCTTGATATGAAGAGGTAAATAGAGAATCCACTATCTTTCTAAGTAAGTTTCTTCTAATGGCTTTATCCTCACTGTTAAAGATTTGCACCTCATTGCTAGTCCAAATTGTAAAACTTCAGCTTCCAACCCACTGGATCGTTACTTTATGAAGCAGGTTATGACTTTTTCTGCTAAATTAAAGAGCAGTTTACCATCAGAAATCTCCTCTCCATGTAGATACTTGTAGACCATAATCAAGTCACCTCTTAAGCTTCTCTTGGATAAACTAGTTTGAGCTTCTTTAGTCTGTCACTAGAAAGCATGTTTTCTAGACCTCATTCTTTAAAGCTTTTTTTCTGAACCAATTTTTTCAACATCTTTTTGGACACCTAAACTAGACACAGTAATCCAGTAATAGTCTCAATGAAGCTGTATATAAAGGTAACACCACCTTCCTGCTCTTACTTAATATTCCCCTGCTTATATTTCCAAGGCTCACATTTGTCCTTTAAATTATAGCATCACACTGGGAGCTAGATAAAAGCATTACAAGAAAAAATTGATTTTGCAGAACTCTGTTCTGATTTACACTGCTGCAATTCCATTGTCCATTAGCTCAACTCTGACCAAAATCAATGGAAACAAAAAACGATTAACATCTGGTGACTTTTCTGTGGCCTATATGGAAAGAACAGTCAGACTTAACTCAAGACCTACTGACAATAAGGTGTCAACATAAAAAAGAATATTTCCTCCACTATTGCCACTAAAGCACTCTTCCTGAAAGTTTCAACTCACCATGACCGTCCAAGATTAAGACTCAGGCACATTGGAAAGGAATGCTGGTTTTATTGCTGTCTGCATTATGCTGGTTCTGTGTAGAACTAGTTTCATTCTGTATCAATCTGTTACTTATTACTTGTCTAAATTCTCTGAAGGCCAGATTTTCAAAATATCAGGAGGCTAAGTATGCCTGTGTGACATATTAAATACACACGTACTGCAATTCTGCATCTAAATTTGTGCATGTAGAGATCCAGATAAGCATCTACCTCTGAAGCATAGATTGCATATGCAACGGTAATCACGTGCTCAGCTTTTACATACCGCCCTGGCATTTTGATCTTTAGAAAAGGTCAGGCTCCTTTAACTCCAAAAGTAAAACTTAAATTCAGTTAGCTAACTTCCAAATAGTGAATATAAGTTCAGAAAAGGTTTTAAATCCATGCTTGTTGCTTACTTTACTTTTCTTGCCCATGGGTGTAATGTATTATTTTTTTAAAAAAATTGTCATTGGTAGCTGGTCATTGCTTTTAGATTGAACACAAAGGGCCTGATTCTCTTTTACACTAAAGTCAATTTCTAGTGCCCTGGCAGTGTAAAGAGAACTTAAGCAGACCTGCTTTGAATTACCTTTACACTTCCAGAGCACAGGAAAAGAGCTGTAGTGGAAAGGAGAGTCAAGCCTCTGAACATTGTGGCTTTCTACTTTTCAGCAATTAATCTTAAGAGGACTGCATCCGTTCATACCTTACCATTTATGGTAATAGGAATCTTCATAATAAGGAAATAAGCTCAGAGTTCAGCCAGAGCAAAACAAACCCAGAGGAGTCCTGGAAAGGAAAGTTTTTAACTCTAGGTTTTGCTGTTTCATCACTGGTGTGGAAAGGTTTTCACCTACCAGGATCAGTCAAACAACACAAACTATGTCATGAGCTAAAGACGCCGAAAGAGCAGCATTCGCCAGTGACTGTAAGTATCACTGAGAGAAAGTTTTGCCTTAGGAATGTCTGGGACAGCTTTGTCTTTTGAGAAGAAACAGCTTTTATAAATATACAGGAACGCTTCTAGACACACAGCTAACTTTTAAGGTAGGGGAAGTCGTTATCTAGTTTTCCTCTCTCAGATATACATCATAAAGTTACTTGAATATTTCAATACGCATGACGCTAATAACTTGTAAATAACACAAAGTGGGGAAACTGCTGCTCTTTCGGGGCCAGTACTTATTAGCAAATGTCCTTAGCTTCAGGAGCACTGTGACTGGGCTTTTCAAAGAGTTTAAGGGATCTGGATGCCTTAAAGGTAACTGGGCACCTCTCTCAGACTTTTTTAAAATCCCAGTCTCAAATGGCCAAATAGGGTGCAGTATCATATTAGGGAGTGTTCAGAAGAAGTACTCTAGAAATATATTAGAGATACCAGACTGAATAAGAGCAGTTGTTCAAATTATTATATAAAGCATTAGAAATCAAAGCTAGGCAATTGTTACTCTCTGACATCTCACTCCTACTTTACAGTTTTTGACATAAGAAATATCTAGCTTTTTCCTCCAGTCTTGTTTTGTTATATGAACAATGCTTTAATCACATGATCAAATTTACATCCCATGTATGTCAAACGTGATATAAACTAGTAGTGGTATAGCTACCCAGGTCTCTGGATTGGAGCCCTATATGGTGGTGAGATGTAAAACTTTATGTCTTTTCTCCTTTGGTTCAGCATCACTCTTTACTGTAAATACCAGATACACAGAATGGGATCAGAAACTTCATTTGCTTTCTTGTAATATTTTTACTTTCGATTTCAAGGGGTTATAATTGGGTCTCTCGGGAATGGGGATTGCTGTGACTCTCAATATTATGGGCAAAACCGCCTAACAGTGACTAGTAAGCAAAAGAGGGCTTGGAGATGCAAAAGTAGGGAAAGGAAAATTTGAACATCAGTCCAAAATCTTGAACATCAGTCTAAATACCCAAGCCAGGACACACCACATGAAGCTGCACAAGACATGAGGTGGGGAGCAGGGCAGGAGGTCAGAGGAGGCAAAATGGCAGTACCTGGAAGAAAAAGGATCCAAACTGGTTTAAAAATCTATAAACTAAAAACAAGAGAGCAAATTTTGAATTATGGGTCCATAATTCCATTTCAAAATGCTGGTGACTGTACAGGCTCCTATAGCTTTGCTGTCAAGAGTTAACACCCCCCGCGAACTACCTGAGTGTATGGCTCTATGATTCTATACAGATTGTCTCTCCTTATTTACCTGTTATTTATTCTATGCATGAAATGCATTACCAATAAACTGGCAATAATCTCTCCGAGGTCACTAAATGGAGCCCTCTTCCTAGGAGGCCAGGGAAAGTGGCACTTCTCTTTTTAATGCAGGCCAGAATAGAGTACTCCAAGGGCTATAAAACCAGATGGCTGTTAAAGAGTTAACATTTTAGATAGTAAATAGATGGCTATTTACAAACTGCTTTCAAAGTGGCTTTTTGATTAAGTTCAAACTCACAGAGTGCTGTGTAAGTCAGGGGAATTAGAGACTATTAGGTGAGGGCCTGTTTAGAATATTATTAGTTAATCATCATAGATCCAAATGACCACTACACACATTGGTGTAATGCAACATAACATCCACTGCCGCTGTTCATTTGAAAGCTAAATGCTTATAGGAACCTTACTCCTAGTAACTCTGTTGAAAATACCATTTGCTTATTAATAGTTGGCTAGTTATAGGAAATTCAACAAATGGTGCAGGATAAGGTTCCTCTATTAATGATTAACTCTGTTAATACTTACTGCCAACCTCAGTTCTACACTAATGAGGCTTCACCATGGGAGTGGGAGATCAATTTCTCCTTCTCTGCTCCGACAGGTGTCTGTGAGTGCTGTGGAGTCTTATCACTAGTGACTTCTGCATCGAATCTAGGAGTAGCATGGATTAACCATGAAGGGAGTTTCATCCTTAACCAAGGAAGGTCATGGCAACAAAAGGTCCTTGAAGAAAAGGGGGGGCGGGGAATCTCCCCATTGAGGATAAAAAGTCTACTAATCAAATTTGGGTATTCAGCTCCAAACCCATCCCTAGTATTATCACCAGCAGCTGTCAACGTGGTGTTTATACCTTGAAATTGTACAGTGAATTGTACAGTACTGTATAATTTAACTAGACTGAACAAAAAGATTGGGGAGGGGGGGAAATTATGAAAAGATTTGTAGCTTATATTTTCCTACGAGTTATGGAAGCACCCTAGCAGCTTTCAGAATTATGGCTACACTGAGATTAATATTTGAAGCAGGACTTAAATCCACGTGTGCCCCCCACTTCAGTGTCTCCAGATTTAAAACAGTAACGCTTCCCAGGCCAATTAAATTTTTCATAATATTTCATTTGTCAAATATTTACTAACTTTGGTAGAGGAAACACTTAGAAATGAGCCTTTTTTGATGTTGCTCCTGATATAATAGATCAGAATAAAATAAGGAATGTAAACATGAATCTGAGTTTATGATGTGCCATAATTAACTCTTTGGAGACTGGGAGAAAATTTATATTATGTAATATCACAATTATACACACTTGTGTACAGATGCACATGTGTGTGCGCACACAGAGAGCACCTTCATTTGTCTTCCAAACCAGAAAATGGAGGGTTTTTATCATTAACAAGAAATAGTAAAACATCTGAATGGTTATTTTTATATGCAAGGGGTTTTAAAAAAATAAGTATATTAGGTCAATTTCACTGAAGTTTACTGTCCTGTCTTACATCCCCAGCTTTTCTTCAGGAGGGGTTTCTACAGTGTATATACATGCTAAGTGTGGTTTTACAATTTTTGCTACATCATCACTTCATTCTCTCACTCAATTTACAAGCATAAAAAAAGGGCAAAGGAACTTTCAGTCTTAGGGACCAGATTCTCAGCTGGTATAAACAGGTGAAAGCAACACAAGAGTCAATGGAGCTACTCTGGTTAATGCTGCCTGGGGATCTGGCCCATCACGTGGTGTTTGTAGAAGTGCTGTCTGATATTTTTAGGTGAGTCTTTCCTGTTATCATTCCTTGCACAATTTATCATTTGTTTGTTTTGGGGTGGAGCAGAAATGGATCTGAACTGCTTCGGGAATTTTGAGAGGCAAGATCGTGCAGCAGTTAGCACAAGGGAACTGAAGTCAAGCGATCTGGTATTTCCTGTTCTGCCACTGGCTGTTTGTGTAATTCTGCTCAATCCCTTAGCCTTCCAGTACCTCAGTTTACCACTGTGTAAATTAGCTATCTAGCTTCAAGAGGTGCTATGAGGCTTAAACAAACTGGCAAATATTTTGGGATGATTAGATGAAAGGTGCAAGAGAAGTGCAAATTAATGGATGTGGCAGACATCCCAAGAGACAGAGCTACTGATTAACAGTTCTCATAATTGCATTATTTCTTTGGTTAATGGTCCCAGGGCAATAATTTCTTGTTTTATATATGATGAGGGGATTGGTCTCCTGCATTGTCTCACAGTATAACTGGGATGGATACTTAACCACTGCAATTCTGCTAATAGGCACAAATGGCAACATTCTGTGTCTGGAAATCACTTTCAATTCGGGGAGGGGGGGGAGGGGGCGCACCAGGTGCTTTAACTTTTCCCTGACTCTGTTAGGACCACATGGGTGAATTCCATGTGATTGATAGAGCTTTGAGAAAATTGAGAATTTTTCATCAAAAGGATTTTTCCGTAGAAAATGCGGTTTCCACAAAATTTTTGGCTTTCCATCAGAAAAATCAACTCAAAATATTTTGTGGGAGGTCAGTTTGACCTGAATTGAAATATTTCAATTGAAACATTTCAGTTGTTGAACTGAACCAAAGCACTTTGTTTAGCATTGGTTCATCGGTAAGCTGTATCAGCAGTTTGTACAGCACTGCCTCATGGGAGTTGCAGTTTGGGTTCCCCATGTCCTCATTCTCTTCTCTGGGTCAGGTTCCTTGGCCAGACTACATCTCCCATGTTACACCACAGTCTCCCTTCTGCCCAAGCCGCACGGTGCAGTTTATTGTCAAGCTGACTCAAAACAAAATGTTTTATTTCATGTCTAAGTCAAAATTTTAGGGAATTTTTATTCCATTAAAAAAATTGATGGTTCAACTTTGCCCCCTTTCAGGATAAAAACAAATGCTGAAATGTTATAATTTCCTATAGGATGGAAATTCTGATTTTCATTCAGCTCCATCGGCGTCCTGCCATTGAAGTGTGTGTGACTGGGAGGGGTATTTGTAGGACAAGGGAGCACAAATCTGATAGCAGTCCCAAGGTCTGAATCACATATGGCTGCACACCTCAGAAATCAGGTATGGTTTGTGTGTCAGTTTGTCAATTTAAGAAGAAGATGCTTTTTGATTAGGAACCTCAGCAAACTGTACTTGAACTTCATTGAACTGATTCTCTTCAAAGCTGGTCTCTCACAATGGGTCTAAATACCTATTTAATGTGGAATTTTATACTGAACTGAACAATTTTCCGTACTACAACTAAATGCTAGTATTCAATGAGGAACAATTATGTTCCCAAAGAGACCTTAGAATACCAATCATCTTTTTGTTCAATATTTGCAACCCTCCAATACTTAAAAACTCCCTCCCCCCTCCCGCCCCCCGCAGTTCCACTAACCTCAGGGTGTGCTGTGCTATCAACATAACAGCATCAACACATGTTGAAATCACCTGAGAGAATATATTTGTTGTTAGTAACCATGCTAATGCCTGCTATAAAATTGTTTTTCTAACAGCAGCAAAGTCTTAATTGTCCAAATATCTTGTCTTTTGACTATCAAAATTAACCAGTCAAATGACAATACTGCCATGGTTGAATGATTGAAAGATAATTAAAATAGAAAGCCACATACTAATACCATCACATTCTTCTTCAGCTCTTCCTCTCAAAAGCTGACGGCATCTTTAAAGTTCCTTTCACCATAGCAA